TGCTATTCCGAGTGCATCTGTGCCACAGTTGAGTTCATGCCCGGAGGTACGGGACGACACACGCGGGCGATCAGTATCGACGACGAGGGGGTTCTCTGAAAAGATTGACGTGATTCAAAGACAGGGAGGTCTCGATACAGCAGGCGTGCCAGTGTTTGTCTGGCCTGTCAACACAGAAAATGCGGATTCGGGCAGAAAGACGTCGTGATTGGTCAGTGGCGGGACGCGTTTGGAGTATGGTGGAGATGCTCGAAAACCGGTTCTATGCTGACCCGGTGACACGTGGAAGCTTTCTGAACGACACAGTGAACAGGGAATGCAATTGTAACGAATGTCTGGTGGTAACAATAGTGAAAGTGATGATGTATGAGCGGCGCAGGGCCTGGCTCGTTATCGACGAGCTGTTGGGGCAAGAAGAGCTGCCGTGGTCAAATGCGGTGCTTGTGGGGATCGTTGCAGTCCGACTGGAGAGCGCCGTGCCGAAAGTGCGGTCAAGCACTCGATGCGGGCAGGAGCCTGCCCTATTCATCAATGCTTTATCGCTTTGGTATGCACTGTATCGAACAGACTAGGGATTGCGGCGCTCAGATGCTTTCTCGGGTCCGATTTGTATCTACTGTGGTAAGGTTCTCCTGTACCACAGCAAGTACTAGGTACGCAAACCAATTACTCCGTACTCCGTAGTCAGGGTCCATCTACGGAGTATGTAAGTGCCATTTTCCCTTCAAATGTGCCGTCAGCAGGAGCGTAGCGCAGTCGTAAGTTTAGCTGCAGGAAGTCACCGAACCACACGAACTCGTTCTACTGCGACTTGTTGGATCTTGGGGCATCGCAAAGAGAGATGGAGCGAGTAGCACTGAAGGTGCTCATCAACAGCTGGCATTTCGGCGCACACGCCGGCGAGTCCAACGCCCGGGTACTACACAATATGTACAAGATCCTTAACAAGGATCGGTCTATTAACATTTCATCGGACTAGCTTAGCCCGCTATACAGTGGTCAGGCTGTGCGCAAGAGGCGTGGCGCCCCAATGGCCCTTGACGCGATCCCAAGCATTACCGACATGTGTCGTCGTTACAGAACGGAATAGAGGAGCACAACAGCTCATCTGCAACTCCAGACATTCGGACGACGAGCCCTAGGCCTCGGTCTCATGAGAACCGTGGTCCCGAGGATTCTTTCTCCCTCAGGCCGCCAATGCGTTCGAGGTCGAGCGACTGGAATCGATCGGCATCTTCCTTCTGATAAGGTGGCAGATTCTCTTGGTGGAGCGGTTCCATCCCAACGCTCCCAGAGTCGGTAACGTGGACGACAACCACACGACCCTGCTGCAGGCCAGATTTGCCGTCTTCGTCGGGGAAAGTGATATGGATTTCGGGGACGGCTGCCGAGGTCCGACTTGATGAATTGTGAATGAGGTTCATTTTCTCGTCATAGACGAAGACGGAGTCGTGCTTCCCATAGTTGAAGTTGCTTACAGAGGGCGAGCGCTGGTGTGATGGTTGGTGACGGATCGTCAGCATTGAGGCATGTTCTCTCGCCAGTCGCTTTCGACGAAGAACGACCAAGGCTAGGGCGCAGAGAGAACCCACTAGCAACAAGGTGAAGAGGACGAACAGTAGTTGATGCATCGAGTATGGTGCTTCGTCGCCTGGGAAGTCGGACGCATCGCGACGTGCTAGGTAGGTGTATTTTAATGAGCCCATGACTACGAGGTTCGTGAGCTGCCAAGGCGTCCTTCGAGGACGTAGACGAATATAGATTTGTGGTTGAGGCTGAAGCCGGCCTGGACGGAGAATCGGATGCAAGAACTGCGATATCGCGGGATGGATTCGGGGGCCACTTGCTCTTCGCCGCAGTTCAGAGGTGCACGCAAGACGCCCGATAGAAGTTGTTGATTGCGTGTACTGTGTAGGATCCGACCGCAATGCACAGTCAAGCGAAATCCGCGTATGATTGTCGATGCCTTTGGTCTTTACACCAGGGAAAGACCGTGATTGGCGGCTATGGGGTTTTTGCAAAACGATGGGACAGCAAATACCAGCTGAAAGAGTGAAGCTGGTACCGCCAAATGAAGGAGAATGATTTGGTAAGGAAGGTGAGCTTCGTGACTGAGCGCAACGCGAACAGACAGGAAGCAAGAGAAGAATGAGAAAGAGCAACCAGAAGCCGAATGAATATGAGCAGGCTCCTAATTAGGTGCAACGGATGTTGTTGGCGAAGGCCGATAGCAACAATAAGTCCACCTCCCAAATGAACGCCCATCCACTAGGCAGGCCTGGCCAGTGCTGTTGCTTCCTCTAGACCCGCACAGGCCTTTGCAAGCCACAGCGTGACGCCCGAGGCCCGCTTCGCCTACGCTTGCCGGGATGCCACAGCACCGACTGAACACGCTGCTTATCTTTGCTAGAAAATTAATCTCTTCCGGCGCGTTATTCGACCAATAGGATCCACTGCGCCGCGTAAGATCGGCGGTCGGAGGCTGCTTTGGTCGTGTGAGATGGAGCCGGGCCAGTCTGATGCACCGATCACTGGCGGCCCCGTTGCAAACGGCAATTTATCAACAAACAAATTAGCCTTCGAAGCCTTCCTCTGCTTCCTTCACATGTCCCGCCGCAGAAGTTGGGTTGTGTCTGCATGTATAGAATCGCGATAGGAAGCATCTCATGCTTGTGGGCTATATGGCCGTCAACCCTCCCCACGGGTCGAATTGCGAGGCTACGAGGGTCAAAGGAAACGTGATCCTGTCCCTTGCTTAGTGTTGCACCTTCTGTTTGCTCATGTTAGGGGGCCGCTTCGACGACAACCTACCCCGACTTCGGCCGCTCGACCAAAGTGACATCGAGCTTCAATGAATGCGATAGCCAAACTTACAATTCTGTTAAGTATTCATTCAAATATTCCTTGGGAACCGTTCGCCAATAATGCTTCACTTCGAGTCATACTGTGTACATGGAAACGGTGGCTGGGTCACGATGTGGTCTGCGGCGAGCCCGCTTTCAGGTTCAGAAGCTGGTTGCTTGACATATCTATGCGCGGATCCGAAAATTGCGCCTACTCGGGTGTCGTCATATTAATACATGCGAGTTATGGATGATAGACAACTCGGGTTTGGGATGGCATGCAGGCCCCGGAGGACAACAGACACTGTTACCATTTGTTTGCGCCTCGAGGAGAACTACATAAGTTCTTGCTGCCAGAGCGATCAAAAAGCGTGCCGTAACGGCCTGCCCACAAAGACCAAGCACGCATCTTTGTTGGGCAGTAACACACCATGAACAAACCTGCAGGCGTTGTGTGCGACCATGATTCACTCTCCAATAATGAGGTTGCATAAGCCGTCTTCGACGGCCATCCTGCTAAATCCTTGTACGAAAGAAAGCGGTTTCGTCGTGGTGCACATAGACACAATCCTCTTCAGACAGCGTTCGCAGTACAACAGTGTGCACAGTACACAGTATGCCTCTCTCCGCCTGTTGGGTGCCTGGGCCCAGGCTTGACTTCAAGCGTCATGTCTGAGTCAGCTCCATCAGCCTGTTTGCTTGAAGAGGGCGAATGCGGTCAAGGTTGTGTGGGCAGTGCAATGCTGAACTCGGTATTCGTACCATACAGTCCATGGTTGATGGAATCACAGAAACCCACGATCATGTAACCACTATCAAGACCGTTATCCTTCTTAGGGCCTGCGACTCGTCTTTCTGGACCGTTGGACACCCGAACTCGCCTGTGACCATGGCACGCCACCCGAGGGTCGGAACAGATCAAACGAGCAGAAACTCCACTTGGTGAGGCTGGATTGAGTTTAGGCACCCCTTCGGCCTGACGGTTCTTACCTAGTGTTGGTCCTTCTGGGGTAAACCAGACAGCCCGATCGACAGCCTATCTGTTTCTTCCATGGCATGGGAGACTTTGTGACATATCATCTTTGCGCTCACCGGTACATGCCTTTTGTGTAACCCTCTGTTGCATTTCTTTTGCGCTTCCTCGCCGACATTCTATCCCTTCTGCGGCCACGCTTTGTTTGCCCTTGCCCTTGGATGCTCCACCCTTCCCGCCGCCATTCCTCGTCCCTCGCCGCAAAGCCCACCTGCGCCCCGCCAACATTTGCGACTCACCTTGCACAAACCTGGCGTCGCAACATTCCACCAGACTGTCAACATCCCATCATTTCACCCATCCCTTGCTGCTCCATGCGTGAGCCGTGGTCGAGGCGCACGTCTGCTGGCAGATGCTCCCTCGTCTGCCTTCTGCGGCTACCCGTCTACGGCGCGATCAGGCGCAGGCCTTGATTCTCATTTGCCCTACGGCTGCCTGCTGGTCAGAACTGTACCATTGCTTTGCTGGCGAACGAAGGGGTACATGACTCTGCCAAACCTTGCTTCCTACCGAAACCACCTCCTTCTCTTCTAATTTCTCTGCCTCCTTCCCTTCTCCTCCTTGTATCTACAACGGGGTTTATTATATTTTGGGGCTGGTGTACATGCTCACCCTACATATTGTTGCTTCTGGTACACATCCCGCCCTGTTGAATCCGACCCTCATATTCCAGGCACAGGCACTGACTACATACCGGCGCGACAGTCCATAATCTATTTTCTGTTCGTTACGAGCCCAGCGATACTGGCCGAGATCCTCTGCATCGCCCCCACCGATCCGCAAGTACATTGTCTGGCTACAAGTACCCGTTAGAGGACCACCACCATTCTTCTACTCCTCCAAGTCGGGCCGCAGTGTAAAATGACTGTGATGGAGGGCGGTACAACGTTTCAAGCCGTGAGTATACTTCCCTGGTCAGCGACGGCGGGGCTGACCAAGCACTTCAGACACGAGGGGCTCGCATACAAGCATACGAACGAAGGCTGTATACGAAGGCCGATTATGACTTGGGAAAGAATGCCTGGAATGCCTCGAGCCGAATCTGGGGAACCTCCAAGTCATTCCTTGACGGCGCTGTCGACGACAACCCGATACGACGTAAGTTGTGGGCACACCATAAAACCATGCCCGCTAATCCTTCTCCAGCATCTCCTGTCCGTCAAGGCTCTCTTTCGAATTTCGCTGAGGCCAAGACCGCAACATCGTCCTTGCGTACGTCAACTGACATCAACAATGAAAACGTTCCGCAGTCCAAGATGTCATGGAGCTCGATGTCATCCTCCCTTGGCTTTTCGGCACGGCAAAAGGGCCGACCCCTGTCCCCGACTAAACAAAGACAGAACCAGATTCTGGAGTTTGTGGCTAACGGCTCGAACGGGACACAAGAACCAAGCTTGTTCGCTGGCAGTGATCCGGATGTGGATGACGTTCCAGACACCCATCAAGCACAGAATCATTGGCCTGCCCTTGCAGCGGCTGGTTCTCGAGTGATCCCTTCCCCATCCCGGACGGCCACCTTCGGCTCAAGTCAGCTCGATCCACAAATCCAGGCGTTCAACTCGAGCAGGCTTCACCACAATGGGGCCTTCTCTGCGGTCCAGGAGCATGAGAATGGCCACGACCGCACTGCCAGCAGCATCCTCCAACTAAACGGGACTTCAGATATGTCGCCATACCTCGATGGACATGGCTCTTACAAAGCGACCAACGGAGTGTCTCCTGAGACCTTATACCAGCACAGACCCAGGTTGGCAATACATGGAAAGTTCAATGGCCGCCTCGTGAATTTCGAGCATGTGGATCAGTTTCGTCCAGCTGAGAATCAAGATTACGATGATATACTCAAATCCTACGAAGCCATGACCTTGGCTCAGGCGACTGTTGGAGCCTTCCCTCCTCGGATGCCGGTCAACCAGTCGCAGTTTGTGCGAGACATTTCTCATGGCCCCACTCATCTTGACCACCTGGACAGCACATTTCATCAAGCAGATCCTCATGTACAGGAAGTCGGATCACGCTTGAACCCTCAAGCCCCGCCTCATCAGTATGGTGGCTTCCAATATGCAGGCCGTGGTTCACTACCTCCACTCCCAAACGACTACAGAAGCAACCTGAACAGTCCGTACTATTCAGCTACAGGTACGCCCCCCACGGGACCGCAGTCGGTTGGGAGCACACCTGGAAGCGGTGTATCCAGCCGCACATCGCACCATGAGCAGTTCGTCCTTGATCGCAAGTTTGCTGGGCCTGACCAGTACGGGTTGGAACTGTCGCTGTTTAGTCCGACTTCTATGCAGCCACCGATGATGAGTGCCTATCAGTATGATGTCCGGACATCTGGTCAAGCATTGCGGATGAATCCACTCGCGCATCCCTACGTCGGCCACGGCCACGGCACGCTGCACAACTACCCGACTGGCCCTCGCATGCCTGTTCGTGAGCTGGAGCAGAGTCACATTGTCAGAAGCCCTCTGCTGGAAGACTTTCGCCTAAACAGCAAAAACAATCGAAAATTTGAGCTCAAAGATATCTACGGCTATGTTGTCGAGTTCAGTGGTGACCAACACGGGTCACGATTCATCCAGCAAAAACTCGAGACTGCCAACAGTGATGAAAAAGAGCAGATTTTCAAGGAAATCCAGCCCAATCTGCTTCAACTCATGACTGACGTGTTCGGAAACTACGTGATCCAGAAAATGTTTGAACATGGCAACCAAACACAAAAGAAGATCTTGGCCCACCATATGAAAGGTCACGTCCTTCATTTGTCGATGCAGATGTACGGGTGTCGTGTGGTACAGAAGGCCTTTGAACACGTCCTGACCGATCAGCAAGCGAGCCTTGTCAGAGAACTTGATGGTCCGAACATGCAAATCTTGAAGGTCGTCAGAGATCAGAATGGCAACCATGTCGTGCAAAAGGCCATCGAGCGTATACCTGGGGAGCACATACAATTTATCGTTGACGCCCATCGAGGGCAGATGGCAAAGATGTCAACTCACCAATACGGGTGTCGCGTAGTCCAGCGGATGTTGGAATATTGCCAACCGCCAGCCAAGCGGGTGATCTTGGACGAGCTTCTAGAGCATATCCATCCACTCATCGGTGACTCCTATGGCAACTACGTTGTGCAACACATCATCCAGAATGGAGAGCCTCGCGACCGGCGCCAAGTTGTCGATATCATCCTGTCACAGCTTCTGGGCTTCTCCAAGCACAAGTTTGCCAGCAACATCGTCGAGAAGAGCATCGATTGTGCAGATGAGGACCAGCGTGAACAGATCCTTCGTGGGCTAACCGCAACCAACGATCAGGGGGTGACTCCTGTGCTGGGACTGATGAGAGATCAATATGGTAACTACGTTTTACGTAAGTCTCACATTTCGGCGAAGTCTTGCTCATGCTGACTCGAATCACAGAAAAGGTCTTCAATCAATTGCAAGGGATCAAGCTCATGGCCTTGAGGGCAGACATGGAGCACAATTATCCCATGCTGCGTCGCACCAGTTACGGCAAGCAGGTCATTGCCATTGAAAAGCTCCTGTTTGGGAACAACGGGCCGCCACCTCTCGCTCCAACATCCACCACGAGCAGTCGCAGCTCTAACCCGCCGAGCACAAACGCAAGCAGCACCGATAGCGAGGCACCCTCTTTGCGCTATGCAGACGTCAAATAGCGATGGCGCTCCTACTCGGGAGCGAAGCGCCCTTCGAAAGGTCCTCGGCGGCGACGCGCGCCACGTCCTGGACGTTGTACCGGGTGATAAAATCCGGTGTTCTGATTTGATACTTTCTTACGATATGCGCGGCGTCGCTTGGGTACCATAATTGATTTGCACATCCAATGGAGGCGACCGAGGTGTCCATAGAGGGGTGTGATCGCCGAACACTTGGTCGAGCTTTCGAAGTGGGATTGGTTCCAACAGGAGTTCTGGGAGAGATTGGCAGGCTGGGGACAACATACAAAGGGGCGTGGATGTCAAGCCACGTGTCATGCATCATTCGGTACAGTGTTTACGAAATTTCTTTTTGGCGACGACCACTGTGGATAGATACCCCTCGTTTGTTGGCTAGGCAAAGGCTGGTGCATTAGGCGCAATATATACGAAAGGAATAAATGCAGGAGCTTATGAAGATCGATTTTTACGACCACTAAGGCAGACATAAAGTGAACGACGCCCACTGCACAGCGGCACTGGCGAGATGCCGTATGCTCGTGCTCGCGGTGAATGACGCTCGGTAGATGGGCCTGACGGGGTCTGACTCAGTGGGTTGGATGCCTTGGTGTGCACGAAGACTGGAATTCTCCTTTTCATTCGTAGGCGGAGAATTAAGCCCTCATAATGAATTAAGTACTGTGCCTCGACTTCAAACATGATCTTGAAAGAAAAAGCCCCCAAGCCTCACGATACAGTACTGTAAATTCTACGATCGCGACACTCTCTTCCGAGCAACTCCAATTGTGACTGGGAAGGTTATCCGAAGGGTTGGCCAGACAGCACTAAGAGGTGTACTGGGCCATACCCCCTATTGTACGATACCGTATTATTTACATAGGCCTTCGTAACTATATAGCTAGGTCTCCCCCTAGACCCCTCTAAAATTCATCATGTTCTCTAATTAAGTCATATCTAGTAGCAACACTCTAGACAGCCCTCGCTAGCCTTAGGCTGAGGCCCTTAAAGGCCTCTATCTCTTTTAAATAGTAAAGAGATAGTCCTCCGATCTATACTTAGGCTCTTAAGGAGCCTCGATAACTATTAAAGTACTGTTTAATAATAAGAACCCTTCGAAGTACCTAGAAAAGAGACCTTAGAGTTACTTCTCCCTCTAGTATAAACTATCCTTCTATAAAGGGGCTACTAGACCGGTCCCCTTAGAGTTTATACTATATTAAAGGCCGATAAAACGCTATTCGCCTTAAGGAGCCCCTTAAGAATCTACTCGATACCGTTTACTATTAACGCTCTAGAGCGCTAAAGCGCGACTCGGCTATTACTAGCTCTAGGAATAAAACGGCTTTCCTAATAAAAGAGTAATAAAACCCGAGACTAGAGCCTAAGTAAACTAAGAACTAGAAGGCCGTCCACCTAATATTAAAAAACAATATAGATATAGCGCCTTAAGAACTCTATAGAAATTACACCTAATCTACCTATACCCTTAATAAAGAACTAAGTAGGTTAATACCTTAGTTCCTAACGGCCGAAGGCTTCTAGAAGATTCAAGACTATAATAATAGTATCGGACATTTCCCGGAAAAGTATATAAAGGAGGAGGAAAGGAAATAAAAGGGGAATAAAATAGCGATAAGGCTATTCTAATACGGAAAGGAGGAAATTAACTTAAGAAGAGGCGTTATCCGAAAGGATACGGCCCGTTAAAACCTTACTAGCTAAGTTAAGCCCTTAGGAAAAGGATAAGACCCTTATCGGGAGGTCGCTTATTACAGCTCCCTATCTTTCTTTTACTCCGTCTCCTTATACCTAGTCTTCTTAATATTTACTAACCCTTACTATATTATTATACTTTCTCCTTCTTATACACCCCCTCCGTTAGCTTAGACTAACTCTTTCCCTTATTTAGAAGCTAGTTACCGTGCTCTTAACTATATTAACGGGTTCTAAAGAGAGCTACAGATATAGGGCTAGGCTACTCCGATATTACACGAGGTGTTATACGAGGCTAGCGATAGGCCTGATTATATATCGCTTAATAGCGACTCACCATGTTTATTAGTTATATCGAAGGAGTGTAGGACGAGCAGGGCCTAGCTATAGCTTATTATATAATATACCCTACCGGTCTTATTAGCTCTAGGACGCCCTAGGGAATAGGGTAGGAAGGGCGCGTAAAGCGTATAGAGTATTATAGAGATATATACGCTCGTTATTAAATAGTTTAGTTACACTCCTTTATAGCTAACTTATATCATCTACTTATACCTACCTTTAAGTATCTTATTATACCTAGTTGTTTACTATACCTTATCTCGTGTTATATTACCTACACCTCTATTTAAGTATTATAACTAAAGATCTAACCCTTACTGATTAGTCGAAAGGAGCAGCGCTAACACTTTAGCTATTAACCCTAATACTATACGGATATATATATAAGCAGACTATTTAGACCTTCTTCCCCTACCGATAATAATCTTACTTAATAAGCCTTACGCCTATTATTAAACAAGGTTATTTCACTAGGACCTAGTACTTTACGACTAGTACCTTCTATTCTAGCACGACTAGCTATAATAACCGAGGTTAAGGGGTATCTAGGCAATACCCCGAAACCCTATAAAGGAGAAAGAAGAGGGTTAACCCCCTTCTTATAGTATATAGATATATTCTTCCTTATAAACCTTACTAAGTTCCTAGATAAACTTACTAAGGTTTTATTTATTAGTTTATACTTAAAGGGAGACGCCGAGACTTAGTTTAGACCTTATTTATAGGACTATACTACTAATAATCCTACGGATAGAAGCCCGGATATAAGGACTGTCTTTAATATATACTTAGGGTTCACGGAACGACTTAAAACCGCTTTTAAAGTATAAAACGAGGAACACGAGGCCGAGAGATAAATTATAAACCTTTAATAGACCGGATCCGTATAGGAGTATATAATAAGGTTTAGAGGACTCGTGTTTATCCTCGAATAGGGCGATGAGGTTATAGTCCTTATTTTTAAAGAAGGCCTAAAACCGGCTATCCGTTAGGAATTACGAAATAGTATAACTAGATAATTATCCGACTTAATAGCGAATACTATTAAGGTTAATAACGACCTATAAGATTTTTAGAAAATGTCAGGAACGCCTAGATGGGCTTAGCGCTCTAGGCCTATATAGCTTGCTCCTCGCATGCGAACCCTCCTCGTTCCGCATGCTTTGAGTCTTCGTCGATAGCTAGATAGATATTAGCTTATACACCCCTTTTTACATCTCGAGTACCGCCATTCCTGACAGAAAACCCGATAAAAAGGGAATCGAGTACTCTATATAGTTAAGGGAAACTATAAGCTAAATATACTAAAATATAGGGAACTATACTATAGCCCTATATCTATAGATTTAAATACAGCCTAGAAAAAGAAAAGTAATGTAAATAGGAAACCTTAAAAAGGTAATAAAAACGCTAAGATTCCTAAAGAGGAAAGAGAACGACGCTTAAGGGAAAAGCTATACCTTTATTATAGAAAACTAGGATATATCGCTAAGAATTATCGATTTAAGACCTAGATAAATATCGGCGAAAAATAGTTTACTACTAAGGAGATAAATATAGTAAAGGAGGTAGTGAAAGGTAAGGGATCTATACTAGATAAAGGCTAAGGAGAAGTCGTGCGACTTATAAGTACACACCTCTATATTTAGATAAAATATTAAAGGATCACTCCTTACGCGGACCTATATTACCTATAAAGACCTAACTAATACTATTACTATATATATAACCCGATAGGAATAGTTAAGTCTTTAATAACAGTAGTTAAACTTCGGTTCTATAATAAACTAGAATATCCACGATATAACGCTAATCTATAGGAAAAACACGTATATTAAGGAGGTAATCCCGAGATATAGTATATACACCAGTATAATATATAGAATCCTATAGATCTAGAGCGAGACTCGATACCCGAATACTCTACGGTGGAGCCGAGGAACAGTATAAGTAAAGACTTTAATAGGGGTAAGGCGACTTATATATTAAAAATAAAGAACACCCTAACTCTTAGTATAAGATATTAGGTAGTTATAGAGTATATTAACTTATAGACTTATTATATTAGCGAGGAATACGTATATATAGGATACTTCCTAAAGAGAGACTTATAAAGTTATATAAGACTAGTTATATTACGGTTTTACCGAAGGCTTAACTATCTCTACGAATAAGAGGGATTTTAATACTTTTACTAAGGTAATACGGATTAAAGGATATTGACGGTAATAAGGTACTTAGTAAAAAACGAGAGGACTACCTTAAACCCTACAGAAGACGAATATCGATAAATACGGAATAAACGAAACCATCGTATAGTATATACTAACGGGAAAGTCGAAGAAGTATATTAAATCTATAGGGAATAGGGTATCCCTATACTATAAATTAATAAAATACTAGTAGGGGTCTTTATAACTTTATAGTATCCTTATAACTCGGTATATAATTACTTAATAAGGAGGATTCCTTATATATATAGTTAGTACTTTAATTATCTTTAACCCTAAAAACTAGAGATAATAAGGGAGGAAGCCGAGAAGGCTTATAACTAAGTAGAGGACCGTTATACCGTATAGGATTACGACACGCTACGATATAACGGGGAAGACTAGGTAGATTACCTTTACTAGCTAAAAAACGAGTAAGTTCGGTAGTCTAGAGACGACTAACCGAATTAACGACTCAGTCCTTAAATCCCGAACTAGGGATAGCTGATAGTGCTTTAGTTCTATAGTTTAATACAGCCTAGACTTAGTATTTATAAGTTATTATTCTCGGCGAGATACTAAAGGATTAACGAGTATAGATCTTAATTAACTTAGGATGTACGGGTATATTTATCTATACCCGAGTAGCCTAAAGATTAACTAAGTAAAAGGTTACTAAAAGTAAAACCTATAATCTTATAGGTTTTAATAAAACTATAATATCTAATATCTTAG